ATATCAGGTGCATAATAATTAAAAAGGAAGTTCTTGAAATTTTTTTCATAATCTATAATATTATTTAAGAACCAAGGGAAATTGAATAATAATTTAAATATCATATCCAACATTTTTTTATATTGCATTCCAATAAAATAAAAACTTAAAAAATAAAAGAAGTCCAAAAAGATAAGGCTTATATGTTTGGCCAATAAAAAAAATTCAAACACATGCAATCTTTTATTTTTTACACGTCTTTGATATTTTTGATTTTTATATATAAAAAAAAGAGAAAGAACAGATAATGTATATTTTGCTTCTTCATAATCTTACCATCATAAAAATAGTTGAAAAATTGAATAATAATTTTATTTCTTTATTTATTTATTTATTAGTTCAAAATACTTCTATATTAGTTAAAAAAAATACAAAATTAAATTAAAATAAAGCTTTCTTAACCTTATTCTATTTTTTCAATAACATAGAAATTTAAAAATACCTTAACATTACTCTTCTCATTCAGAGAAATACATTGATATAAAGTTTGGTTTTTTTGTTAATAAAAACTTGACAATTAACCATTTTTTTTTTATTTCTTAAAATCAAAGACTGGAATGTGAAAAAAATTAAGTTTTGCATTAAAATATATAATTATAAAACTAAATGACTCAAAAATTACATTGCAAAAAATCTAAAGTCAAATTTTTTAAAAAGATGTTGAATGAATAGTATAACAAAAAAAAAACTTGAATTTTTGCCTTAATGTCACTTTTGGTGCCCTCATTTTAATTCTTTCACAAACAATAAAACTAATTAATTAATTTAAAAAAAATTAAGCATCAAACCAATACTAAAAAAAATTTGGACACCACAATAACTTTTTAAAATCAATTTAAAATAAATTATCAAGGTTAATCTCCAACTAATACAATTTAAAAAGATAAAATAAAAATAAAAAAGTTCAAAATAAGATGAGATGAGAGAAAAAAAATAAAAAAAAATTATTAAATTCACAGTGATGGTGAGATGAGACATGGTAAAATCACCACCTATTTCATGTTTTTTATTTTTTTTGTAATTAAGGATTAAAATTATTTATATCTTATGTAAAATATAACTCACTAACCACATTAACCTCCCATAATAAATATTAATCTTGGTTCTTTTTTTATTTTACTAGAAATTCCAACATCATTATTTTCTTTATTGCTATCTTACCATCATCATTATATTATTCTTATTATATCTATCACATTATTACTTCATTATTATTGTTGTGGTAATCTCATCACCACCCTAGCTTTTATAATTAATGACCGTCATTATCCTTATAATTATTATTATTATCATCACAAAATATTAAAATTATTATCTTATCAATATAATATATTATTATCATTTCACCGTTACTATGTTTTTTTTATTATCCCTTGTCAAATATTATAAAAACAATTATATAAAAAAATTCATATGATATATTTTATTTGTAAATTTTTACATAAAGTAAACATACTTAATGATAGGTAATTTTATCCTAAAACAAGAAAAATGTTAATAAATACTAAAACTAAATAAAAACATATATTTTATAGTTAAATGTCAACCATAAATATTAAATCTGATCTAATTAATCAATTTAGTAACCCACCAGTTATAAACAAGTTTGCTTTTGAATCATTTAAAAAATTCACATGGTTAATAGTCCATTTGGGTTAATTTATAACCTAAGTACTCGGCCAAAGACTTGATCAACAAATATTTCTGAAAAACAAATTCAAAAATGATGTAATTTTAATTTTTTAAAATCATACATACATACATACATACATACATACATACATATATATATATATATATATATA